ACTCTCTCTGCTTAAACCTGTGGACTCCTGTGAAGCTGCAGAATTGTTCAAGGGAGAAACTTTGGTCACATAAATTGGCTTGTACAAGCTTGACTGACTACCATTACTTGCCCCACCAAGACGACCTGCGCCAAATTCCAGCCGAGATAGAAAGGGCACCAAATTGCCAATACTACATGGCAAAACGAACTCGATTTTCAAACATTCAAAAATCTACCGAGGCGGGAACAGAAATAACAGAAAACACGTCAGCAAACATACATGGTATCTGAAGCCTCGAGCCAAACGTACCGTTTTATGGGTATGAAGAAGGTGCTAAGCATTACAGCTATTCAATTCTGGCAAACCCAAAATACGGTGAACCCATAAGATATAGCTATTCAAAATTTGCTAAAAAAACGAAGCTGCAATTACTGTATTCCAACCTTATTCATGTTTTTTCGATGTGCGGAATGCAAATGTTCCCTCATTTCAGCATCGGATGCCCTTTCTGAGAGGCATATGGGACATTGAAATGGCAACCAATTCAGATGTTCACGTTTCAAATGAACCTGAAAAAAATCACTTCTCAAATGCATAACACCAACCTGAACCTTAAGACTACTTTCATAGCTTTAGCCGGCGTTTTGGGAAAAAAAGGAAAGCGTAGCTATAATCCAGGGTTTTGACGGTTTTGCGGTAAACGCTAGCTTTTCGAGCAAAAAAGAAAGTACGGATTTATAGCTCAAAACGTAGATTGATGTTTATCCTTGCCTTTTCGCTCAAGGCACTCAACACGCTCAGAACGCCGACGAAAGTATGAACCCAACCGTGAGAGTACGGTCATTTTTCTCCAGTGCGTGGGTTGCTTATTTTCAAAATCCGAAAGAACGGCTTGTATCGATGCCCATAAAGACTCAACAAAACGGAGACCCTTCCCATCTCTCCCTCACAAAGAGGACAAACCGAGCAATTCGAGCGAATTCCTACCTCCATATCTTCACTATTGTTCTTGTTGATTCCACACTCCAAGCATGTCAAATGCATCATAGGTGTGTTGTTGGAGATACTCAATTGATCGCCCCATGATGACGTGAGATCCGTCTAAAAGAAATTATTTAGGGATTCATACAACACTTCGATACCCTTTCTTATAAATTTACAATTACAATACAGAAAATTTTACAATACTTCCTAGTGAAATAGCGAATGCAGTATTTAGGAGAAAAGAGTTGCATTATGCAATCATCTGAGGTCAAATACGATATCACATTTGGTATCGCTAGTGAAGGCAAGGCTGTTTCGAAAGGAGAAGAAGGAGAATCGAAAAGGGTAGAGGGGAGGGGTATATAGCGCATGAGAAATAAGAAAAACCTAGAAAAGTCAACAAAAAGGTCATCAGGAATAAGCGAATCTTCCTCAAGGGCAACAACGACGCCTTCCTTTAGCGGCCGAATACGACCCCCTCGCTGGGAATCTCCCAGTTAGGAGGTGCCTTGGTCGCTAAAAAAAAGCCATGGAAAACACGGTAATCCATCGATCCATGGTTCAACTTACCAACATAACTAAGCACTCAGACTGCATGACCGACAAGCCATCTGTGTGTTTCTAGAAAAGCCCCCCTCCTTTCCGATTCTTTACATTATCCAGCGATGACATTAGATTCCACTATTTAGCATTCACTTTCATTGCTAATGTGAGCCCTTTCTCTAAGACTCTTTCATATTGCGGGTCTGTTGGATGGTTTGTAAATTAATAAATAAACAAACAACAAATAAATATAAATAAAAATGAACGATGAACATACCGAGAAATAGCCATTGGCCGTGGAATTAACCGATGCAGCAGCATTGCCGTTTTGTTTGTGAAGTCTAGCAGCAATATCTTCAATGCCGTTTCGTGCTGCACTTGACGGTTGTGCTGACGCACTGCCACTACCCATCAGAAGACGTTGCATGATTGAATGCTGATTCTGGAGTTGCTGTTGCAGTTGTCCCGGTGTCGACGATACCCCTTCTTGCATAGACGTCGGTGACGAAGGCGGATGCATTCAACGCATTCACAAAACTGAAAAACTGGCGAATGAAGATGACTGGCGAAATTTGCCGAGTAAAAGATCACCGTCGATTACCATGTCAAGTCACGAGCATCAAACTGTGTATCAGCAAAACAGTGGAACAGATAGAAACCAAAGATGAAGCGAACAACAAGTGTTCCATTGGGAGAGGAGAGGATTCTGGTACTGAACTGCCTCCCTTCCAAAGAGAAGCCAGAAGAACAGACAGTGAATGAGCATTCAACTCAATGACAAATACGAATATCTGCGATAAGATTTTTTTTGCCTGCTCCCCGCTCACAGCAGTTTGAAGAAAACAATTTCACATTCGGATTTAAGTGTCCAACTGCAAACCTATAGTCGCTAAGTAACTCCTCAGAGAAGAAAAAAAGCAAAAAAATACATACTAAGTAAAAACCTGGCAGCCTCTCTGCCAGGTTCTCCGGACCTGCTCGTTTTATGCCAGCAGAGCTATATCCTGCCGCCGTTTTTCGCGTCAACCAGTGCCAATACTCTCAAACAATGACAAAAAAGGCAGTGCCGAAACTGAGCACGTGTGGGAAAACAAACTTTGAGTTTCGATGGGCGGGGCAACTAGAGAGGCGTCAGAACTGCCACTTGTGAGGGCCGCAGCACCTTCGCTACCTCGTGTGAAAAAGCGGGACAGTCTATGCCACTGAGGGCCAGACTATTTGAGCGAGGAAGGACGCCTACGAATTGGTTGAGCGTGGGGGCTGTATTCGAAATCCCATGAAAGTTCATGCTATTGCAAAACCCACTATCAGTGACATCAAAAAGTTGAGCAAACAAAGACAAGAAAATCTTAGGCTTTACATGAGTCAGCTGTTCAAAATTGTGATTCAAAAATGTCAAGTCAAAAAAACAGAACAAAATGGAGAATGAAGTTCCACGACAATCAGAAAGGAAAAGAATCTGCTGAACAAAATACTTTGAAGGCTGTTGGAAATCGTGTGCATTTGTTTCTGGATAATTAGCAATCATCATCAAAAATCATCCACTTTTCGCTGAAAAATGAAATAAAATGAAAACTGGGGCAAAGCTTGGCGAGAAAGGGAGGCACGCGGCAACGTGACTTGCCATCCATATGTGCTCTGTGGATTAATGACACGTCTTCTTGAAGCTTAACGATGACTAGGACATAGACCACAAGTGCGTACCAATCACCCTTTCGGTGAGAGGATGCAGACAAGCAGACATGACGTAGCATTGCACCCGCCGCGCGAGTCCCATCAAATAGCGCTGCCCTGATGATTTTTGAAGTTTTGTTACCAGCCACAATGTGAACATTTCCACTTACTGTGCCAGTACAATCGTAATTCGTCGCGGTCGCTAAGCGCGGCGCGTCCTGTCGAAGTGAGAGCGGCGGTTCAAGATGTAGCAACTTTCCACAACGACGCTGCGAATTTCTCAGAAACCACACGCGGCAGGCGAAATGCTGAACCACGCCCAACAGCGCTTGCTGATGGGTATGTGATAAGACAACCGTAATACGCCGCATCCGTGGGCGTGGCGAGCGACGCAGCGCATAGTGGACGAGTTGTCTTGCCTTGTAGTTCGAGGATGAGCTTTAGAAGACGAGAAAATTTTATATCGCTAGTATTGGGAACTTGTCTTCCCTCGAATTCGTATGAATTGCTTGTTCCTGTCGACAAACCGATGCAAATGTCCCACGTGACGATGCGAAAAATTACGATTGTCTTGTCCGCCTCCTCTGTTTGGGAGGGCGTAGGCCAGCGAATCATGATTTCTTAGTCACATACCGCCCACTATAGAAGGAGGTCGATCACTAAGACAATGTAGTAAGAGACCATTCGACGAAGCCTTGGAAATAGTCATTCCAACTGCTTCTGAGGTGGAACTCAGCGTAGAACAAACACCCGACAAACGACAGCAAGGTAGAGATGATGATGAGAATAGCACTCAACAAGTGGACTGACGATAACCGGTCTTCGCGTTGCTTTCTTCTCCCTCGCCGAACGATGACGACGACAACGACGGCGGTCAGACTGAGCCACTGTGCACCTTCTCTCCCCTAGGTTGTCTCTTGGAGTATCTTTAACGTAGTTGAAAATGTCTCCAAATGCTATAGCAATCGGGCGATACAGCCGACGAATAGTTTGACGGTGAAAACGTCAGCATGGGCGACGACGATGATGCGAAACTAGTTTCCAGTCTCATCACAACCATCTACCAACGATGTCGACACGATGTCGACGACGACGCGTAATGGAAGAGCTTTCTGGGAACGATGCCCTACCATCGATCAAGATTCCCATCACTGGAAGCGCTACCGTCGTTGAGATTGAGGGTCGCATTTGCTTCTGAGCATCCCCCTCACCTGACTTCCACTAAATTGCCAGCACATGAGATTTTCCATACAACTCATTTCCGATAGTGGTTTTGGTTGCTAATGGTTTTTATGAACGACTCTTCAGCAAGCCACATTACACTTTTCGAAAAAACCTGTAAGTTATCCCGGAAAATGAAAAGCAGATAGGAAAAATTGGTAGAACTTGCACTTGAAAGAGTTGCGTGCCTTATGTGACCTTTGTGCAATGTTCAGAATTTCCTGTTACAGAATTCTGATGGATACAGCTAGTAAGACACGGCTTTTCCGAATAAAAAACTCTCTAATAATTGTCGGGTCTGGGATGGGGGGGCGGATTCAAGTTTAGATGATACTGCCATTCAAAATGAAAATGATAAATGATGTAAATGTGACTATATTGAAATCAAGAAAGACAAATAGAATTTACAGCGTGTCATGAATGTAATGTGTGAATTATGTTCGCGGTAAAAGAGGGCGTGGATATCTGGGGCGGGGCTTCCAATGAGATCTGTGCACAGGGGGTAGCGTAGGAAGGCGCTTTTTAACGATTATTGATTACGAACCGGGGGATGAGCTTCTGGAAGGTGAGGGACTTCATGATGGACGAGCCGTTTATCATGTGTGAAAAGCCGAAATGTGCTAGGTCACAATGCATAGAACGCCATGTAGACGGGAGCGGGCAGAAAGTGCAACAAAACAGAAACTTGTAGGAGTTGCCGTCATTAAAGCGATTTAGTGCAAACAGTGTGTAAATCGGGAAGGTATTAAGTATGATGAGGAAGGGGCCCTACCAGATGGATAATTTCTCGAATGGAGACCAGCTTGGTGGGGACATTTCGCTGATCAATAGCTGCCTCTACCTGCTGTAGAAACGTGCGAAGTCCTATAAAGTTATGCACTAGTAGGAGCTCGTTTTTCTTGACAAGTGTTTACAGGTCCACCAGGGTGAGAAGTGTAATTCAACAGGAACTGTAAAATGCCCCTCCGAATCCGAACAGCGCCGTTTTCAAGGGTCGTACTGACACCGCCGATTCACAAATCACGATGATGTACCCTGCCGTTGATAAGACCCTTCGAAACATACATTTTATCCCAACAAATAAAATAGCATTCTTT